TTTTTTGCGGTACGCGGGCCCCTCACTGCTGTGGCCTCTCCCGCTGCGGAGCCCAGGCTACGGACGTGCAGGCTCAGCGGCCAAGGCTCACGGGCCCAGCCGCTCCGCGGCATGTGGGATCTTCCCGGACCGGGGCACGAACCCGTGTCCCCTGCATCGGCAGGCGGACCCTCAACCACTGCGCCACCAGGGAGGCCCCAGTGTGTATTTCTGATTGAGTCCGTGATGCTTTCTTCTCCTGCATTCTAGAGGAGGTGAAACATTCGGTTTTAAGTCAGAGAAGATCGTCTGAAAAGGGCATTCATGTCAAAGAGAAGCTGCATCAGGACCGCACACCAGGGAAGCCAGAAAAAGCAAGAAAATGCTTAAGGTCTGGACATGGTGAGTGGAGAGCCCGGCAGGGAAGGTGGTTGGTTGGCGTGGCTGGAGTGGCACATGTGCGCTGGCGTCCGCCCCGCGTGTGCAGTGGCTGTGCTGCACCCCTTCACCCTCCGCAGTGGGCGCAGCTCTCCCTGCACGACTCCTTCATTGTGGATTCTTGCCATTTCATTTTTGTGACTTACCAAAAAAAGAAAAAACCAAAAACCTTTCCTAGCCGTAGAAGTCAGGTACATATTTTTTTGTTTGTTTTTTAGAATATTCAGTGAATGTGCTGGATTGGCCAAAAAGTTCGTTTGGGTTTTTTCCGTAAGATGTTACAAAAGTATAAAACAAGCAGGGAAACTGATCTGTCGTTCTGTCACCAGGAACAAACGTAATATTTTGGTCATCATATTATGGCAACTCCTTTGTTTTTGTGCTAAGATTTTTTTGTTTTTACACGGATGAGGTTATTCTGGACACATAATTTCCTGTTCTGAGATTACTGCATTGCATGCACTGTCCTATTTCCTTAAGAACTTTCTGTGGACTTCATCTGTGGTTACTTTGTAGTATTTCCTCTGCTGGCGGCACTGTAATGTGCTTAACTATTCCCTGTTGGTGGGAACTTAGGAACCTTGGGGGGTGTTTTCAGTATTCTCTACGGGGCTGAAGTGGACAGTTGAACAGATGATAGACTTTTCTTCTTTTTTGCTCTCTGGGGGGTTAGATAAGGACCTAGAGGCCTTCTCTTGCCTCCATCTGTCCAAAGTAACCATAGTTATCCTGTGTATTCATTCATTACTCACGTATTATTGACAGACCTTTTTACTGAATGCTTGGGGACTGTTGCCTGGGGGCTAGCATTGCATGTGCCTTAGTGAACTCGTATAGAACAGGAAGTTTGGAGACGCTGGCTAATATTACTGGCTTCTCACCCAGCAGAAAAGGCAACTCTTCCCAAGACCACCGAGGACGATGAAGAGCTGCTCAGGACGGAAGATCTTGACACAGTACAGTAAGGGTGGCCCTGTGTTATTTTGGGGTGTGGGAGTGGAACCCCCGCTTGTACTTGCCCCACAGATTCTCACCCAGAGTCATGTCGATTTTTGGTAACTTCAGTTATGTTCGATCTCACACAATCCAGCTGAGATGAACGGAATGGAGAGAGGCAAGCTGTGCCTTTGAGTGTGTGTTGTGCATCGAGCCCCATGCTTTTGCGTGCGTTACTGTATCGCGTTTAATCATCACCGTTATCACTCAGTGGGGTGTTATTACCGTCTCCATTTTCTCCATAAAGTGACTGAGAGGTTACGTGATTTTTACCAAGTTATAAAACTAGAATTCTTGGTCATCTTGAGAGTGTTGGTAACGCCAGGATCCCAACCCACACCTTCAGATGACTGAGTCCAGAGCCTTTCCTGTTGGGAGTGCGGTTGCTCTTGGGGCCTCCTGTAGCCTAATGAGGGTCCAGCAAAGGAGGCTTCTCAGATGCTGTGGGGAGTCAGGGAGAATGGAGGCCCAGCTGGTGGCTTGATGGGATAGGATGGGAAGAACCAGAGAACATGTCATTTTTTTTGAAAATTTTATTGAATTATAGTTGATTTACAATGTTGTGTTAATTTCTTCGGTACAGCAACGTGACTCAGAACATGTTTTAAAGTGTTGATTAAAAAATTTTTTTGCAGGAATTTACAGATTAATTTGGGGAGAATTGACTTTTTCCCCCCCAGAATATATATATATATATATATATATATATATATATATATATATATATATATATATACACACACACACACACATAT